TTAAAAAGGCGTGCTTTAGAGCATGTTTGTTTATAAAAATTTTTGGTTTTGTTTAGATTTTTTGGTTTGGTTTGGTTAATTTTGAAAAATGTGGTATCGTTAGTTGTTAGTGGATATATTAAAATAATACTTATAATAAATTAATTAAAATTAATATGATGTAAAAGTATGAGAGAGATATTTGAAGTGATGGTTAGTTAAAATAATGTGAGTGGATGAATAGTGAATTAAGGTTGATGTGGTGTGTATGAATGATTGATTGATATTATTTAATTATATTGATAATTTTGATGATAGTGGAAGTGAGTTAAAATTGAATTAAAAAAAATGATTGAGTTAAAATGTACAATTTTTTTTAAAAATTTCCTATAAACAAACATACTCCTAGAGAAAATATTAAAGTTTAGTAGCATTTAGCAGTGGACCAGTGGAGGTCTTTTTGCACTTGTAAAATTTTCTGGACGTAACTTTTAGGCATCAGTGGGAAAGAAAATATTTATAATCTTCTAACTGCAATAATCCATAGACAATATAAAATGAGGGTTCATTTGAGCCACATAAGTGTATAGTACCATCCCAATTATTATGTACCTCTCCAAAAAAACCTACTTATTAATTCTAATTCTCTTATCTAAGTTTGAATCTTTTGTTTATATGTTTTACTATACTCAAAGTCAAATTGTTGGTTAAGGTGATTCGACCTGGCATACTTCATTAACAAAAATAAATATTTATGCTAAGAAATATAATATTTTTATTTATGTGGTTTTTCTAATAAATATGACGTTTCATTCGGAATTTAACAAAAAGATATGAGTGATAATAGTTAGACAAGCCTACTTGTTATACAATCGTTAGACAATCCTAACATCATTCTTACTGCTTGCTATACTACTTGCTAGTCTAACCCTAACATCATTCTTACTGCTTGCTATACTACTTGCTATTTAATTATATGAATACTAATTTTATATTCGGATTATTTCTTATCATTTGAACTATATAAAATACGAATATTTACACACAAAAAAAAAAAAGAAAAGTTATGACTAATAATCGCTAGATTCATCCAATTAGTCTTGCGTTGGCCGTTCAGTTAAATTATAAATACTTATAAAAAAAAATATGGTTGATAATCGCTAGATTCATCCAATTAGTTTTGAGCTGGCTCATTGAGTTAAAGTATAACTCGGGTATTTGGGTTGATATTAGCCTATCAACCAGAGCTCATTGATCTGAGGCAATTTACCCACTCCAATTTCAAGTTTATTCATGAAAATAAGAGTATAAATATATTGACTGTTAATTGTGTAATTGATAACACTAGAGGTGTTCATCAATCGGTTCGGTCAATTGAACCGATCGAAGCGTGGACTTAAAACCGAATTTTTAACCGAACTTTTTCAAACACAAATTCTTTTGGATTGTTCATTGGGACGCAAATATATGAGCCTTATCATTGGGCCAAACACAGTTGACCATGCAGCAAAAATCGAACCTCTCAGTCTGGCGCCAGACGCTCAGACCGACCCACAACCCACCCTTCCCATGCTTGACCAGAAAACTACGCGCACCGAGCATTGGAACTATCAGCCACCCGAACATTGAGAAGTTTATCCAGGAAATAAGAGATTATGGCATGAGATTGTTTCCAAAAAATTGTTGATTGTTTACTTTAAACTAGTACGTGGCCCGTGCGATGCACGGAAAAATAATATTTTGATTGTATTATAAATCAAATAAATAAATAACATTAATCATGATTTACCCATTATTTATAAATTAAACCGGGTTGGACACAGTCCGACCGGATGGATCGAGAACCGGTTTATAACCGACTTAGTGCGCTTGAATAAAATATTTGCTATCGAATCCGCCAACACCAGTATGTTGGACTGGTAAGATCGATACGATTTTCTAAACAAATTTTGTTACATGAACAATTATTTTAAATAAAAATACATATTTAAATAAAATAGAGATTTATAAATTGTTTATCAATTAGTTTAAACATTTGAATTTATAAATTGTTTAGATATTTAAGTAAAACTTTCTATTTAAATTTATTACAAAAAGTACTATATATATATATATATATTAAAGTATTATGTATTAAAATCTGAATAACCACAAGACGGTGTGATTCTGAAAACCTTATATTTACCTTACATTAATAAAAATGATAATGAAATAAATATTTTGTTCACATAAATAATAATAAAATGATATATTAATATTCATAAATCATTAATCATGTTGTCACAAAAGTATTGTTAATATGATTATTTGAAGTTTGGACGACATCACATTCACGTAATAAAGTATTTTCAATATTAAAATTTATATTTAGGTTCAATAATCAATTTGGTCTGGTCAAACTGATACATAACTTAAGTACCTCGGACCAACCAAGTTATGTCAAGTTTTTTGACTATTTTAAATATCACCTAAAAGTAATTCAATCAAAGTGGGTAGTACCCTAATTCAATCACCCGATTGATCCAAAGTAATTTTCTTATTTTCTTTAAATATAATATTTAATTTTATGAAATAAAAATATTTTATGATTCATATGTCTACACCAAATGATAGTATATTAAGATTATAAATTATATATCCAAAGATGAACTATTTATTTTTATTTAGGCATATTAATAAAAAATAAACATAGTAATTTTAAAAAAAAATTAAGATTAATTGATTGGGTATGCAATTTAAAATATATTTTTAGCGTTCAATATATATATATATTTAACGTGATTGAATTTTTGGATTAGAATATATATATTTAAAATAATTTTATTATTAAAAGTCAAAAAGAAAAGATGCCATAAAGATTACAACTTTGAAAAGTTTGTAACCATTAATTTATGAATCCTCCGATTTTAAATGATTTATAATTTTTGAAACATGATACGTGCATTTAAAACCCATTAATTGAGGAACCATTCAATTTTTTGATAATGAATTAAAATTAAAATGTAAAATGTAGAAGTTGCTGAAAATAGTATATAATAAATGTGGTTGACTTTTTCTTATTACTATTTATGGTAAATGTTAATTCTTATTATATATATATAGATTATTGGATTTGTTTTTTTTTCCAAAAATTTTCAAAAAATATTTAGGCTAGATTTTTCAAAAAATTCAAAAACAAATAAAATAAAATAAAATAAAAGTACTATGCTTAGTAATTATATAAGTATTGTTTATTTAATATTTTTAAATTATTTAGGTTGTAGTAGATAGATTTGTTTGTTTGGTTTTTCTATTTCTTTATAATGGCTAGTTACGTAATTTTCCCAATTAATAGGATAGTCCCAAACCTATGCCCAAAAAAATTAGGATACATCCGTACAAATCTTCTTTGCCCAATATATTTCGTGCCGGAGACGAAAAATTGGCACGCAATATGTGATGGAAAAGGAAATCGGAAAGCTGCACAAGATTTCCCACTTGTGGGTGCTGAGGGACTACTCCCGCCACAGAGCACGGCTGGGCTCCGGCCAAGCCGTCAAGAGCGGTGAATTCACGGCGGGAGGCCACCACTGGGAGATCGTTTTCTACCCCAACGGCATCCGCCCAGAAACCCGGCGGCAAGGCTACGCGTCCTTGTACTTGTCCCTGAGGAGCGGCGGCCGCGTCCAGTTTTTGCACGGATTGTACTTGTTGAATGCCGACGGCGGCCATCGAGGTATCAGCTTGTTCAAGTTTCGCTCGGGGATCGGGTGCCTCAGGCCCGGCCAGCTGTCTGGTCGAAGCGAATTCATCAAACGGTCCGTTCTCGAATCATCTGATAATGGTTACCTCAGGGAGGATTGCCTGAGCTACGGTGCACGATTGGGGTCCTCGATTGCCCCTTTCCAATAAATCACCCCTTTCTCAGGATTCCAACCCCCCAAAACGGTATGCTTTTTTTTTTTAATTGTAAACAGGAATTAACTAATTAATTAATTTCGTATTTTTTTTTTTCTTTTCAGGCCGAGATCAATGCAAATCCCTCAAAGAGATATGGTCATCCTTGTTTAAGGGGGCGGTTCGGTGTAAGAAATCTGCTTGTGCTGTCCTACGAAGGGTAACAAATCATTTTTTGCTAATTTAATTNCAGGAACTTTTGGCCAGCTCAATTTCATTTTCATCTGCTCCTAAAGGGAAGCTATTGGAAAGTGTCATTTGGCGTCTGGGTGCAACTAAGTTGAAGCAACTAAGTTGAAGCACAAGATGAAGGATGGTTAGTGTAACTTGATACGAGAGAGACGAGATATAATTTTGAGGAAAGATCATCTCAATCGGATGATACAACTCTTCTATTAACCAATAATATATACAAAATTAGGGCTAAACATAACCTAAGGCCAATATAGTAAATACATAAATATACACAGTAACACCCCTCCTCAAGTTGGAGCATGCGGATTCCGAATGCCCAACTTGCCAAGAAAGAAATCAAATTCACGCTTTCCAAGCGCCTTGGTGAAGATGTCAGCGAGCTGTTCCCTAGAAGGAACATGAGTAGTAGAAATAATACCCTGAAGAACAGCATCTCGAACAAAGTGGCAATCCACCTCAATGTGCTTAGTGCGCTCGTGAAAAACTGGATTCGCCGTAATATGCAGCGCAGACTGACTGTCATAGTGTAACCGCATAGGCTGAGAGTGAGCGACACCAAGAGTAGATAATAGTACCAGTAACCACTTCAACTCGCACAATGTAGTAGCCATCGCTCGATATTCCGCCTCAGCAGAGGAGCGTGCGACAGTAGGTTGTTTCTTGGTCCGCCAAGAAACAGGAGACTGACCCAGCTGAATAAACCAACCAGAGAGAGAGCGCCTAGTGAGAGGGCAAGACGCCCAATCAGAATCACACCATGCATATAGTTGAAGATCGCAGTCAGTACGAAGATGAATCCCCTGACCAGGAGAGCCTTTCAAATAGCGAACCACCCGCAGAGCAGAGTCCCAGTGAGCCTGACGCGGTTGGTGCATAAATTGAGAGAGCATATGCACTGAATAAGACAACTCAGGTCGAGTCACTGCCAGATAGATAAGACGTCCGACTAAACGACGATATCTCTCGGGATCAGACAATAGATCACCTTCAGCAAGAGGGAGCTGATGATTTTGCTCTAATGGAAAATCAGCTGGCTTGCTCCCTAGTAGTCCGACCTCAGCTATGATGTCAAGAGCATACTTCCGCTGACAGAGAAAAAAGCCAGAAGAATTCCGAGCAACCTCGATACCCAGAAAATACTTAAGCAACCCAAGATCCTTCATGTGAAAACAACGACCCAAGTAACTCTTGAAGGCCGCAATGGATGTGGTATCATTCCCGGAAACAATCAGATCATCAACATAGACCAGGACCTGTAGATGGACAGAACCACGATGTAGTGTAAAAAGAGAGTAATCATGATAGGATTGACAAAAACCATACTGCTTCAAAGCTGTAGCCAATTTGGCAAACCAACAGCGGGGAGCCTGCTTCAAGCCATAGAGGGAACGACGAAGACGACAAACCTGCCCATCAACACCAGAGCGAAAACCAGGGGGAAACTTCATGTAAACCTCCTCAGCCAAATCACCATGAAGAAAGGCATTGTGAACATCCATCTGGTGAACTTCCCAATGCCTAGCAGCAGCCACAGCCAAGAATAATCGGACTGTAACCATTTTTGCGACGGGAGCAAACGTTTCATGATAGTCAAGACCTTCCACCTGATTATTGCCCAAAATCACCAGACGCGCTTTATAGCGCTCAACGGAACCGTCGGACTTATGCTTGATCTTAAAGACCCACTTGTACCCAATCGCACGCTTCCCAAATGGAAGAGAAACTACATCCCACGTGCCATTATTCTCCAAGGCACGAATCTCATCCTGCATAGTGGCTCGCCATCGAGGATCAGTCACGGCATCAGAAAAAGTGTGAGGCTCAGCAGCGGAGGCGACAGCAGCCAAAAAAACTCGATGAGCTGGAGAGAATGAATCACAAGAAACATAATGTGATATGGGATAAGGCGTACCGAAGGATGGAGACGACTGGGAAGAAGTAGTGGGGTGTACAGTTGAGGGACTGACAGTGTCAACCACAAAATCCTTCAGCCGAGTGGAAGGAACCTTAGTCCGATGACCACGGCCCAAAGGCTCCACTGGAAGAGTGGGAGGGGTAGTGGTAACAGAACCCCCCCTGTCGTCAGACGTGTCCATATCAATAGCAGACGACCCAGTATCAGCAAAAACATAAGGCAAAGAGATAACCGGAAGATCCTCATCATCATCCGGCGCAGAAGAAACCGGTACAACAAGAGGTGTTGGCAAAGAATCTGGCTCAAACGAGTTTGACTGATATGGGAATTCAGTCTCAAGAAACTCCACATCACGAGAGACAAAGAAAATCTGACGATCCAAATCATACAAACTCCACCCCTTTTTGCCAAAAGGGTAACCGACAAATAGACAACGACGACTCCGAGCAGCAAATTTGTCACCATTACGATCTTGGTTATGAGCATAGCAAAGACAACCAAAAACCCGCAAATGAGACAAGTAAGGAGCTGAACCATAAAGAATCTCATATGGGGTTTTACCATGTAAAACCGAGGAAGGAGTCCGATTTATCAGATAGACCGCAGTCAAAACACAATGACCCCAATAGGAAAGAGGCAGATGAGCCTGAAAACGCAAAGCACGAGCAACATTGAGAATATGCTGATGTTTGCGTTCCACACGCCCGTTCTGCTGAGGGGTGCCTACACAAGAAGTCTCGTGCAAAATCCCTTGACGACGAAAATATGAGGCCAAACACATGAACTCACTTCCATTATCACTACGACCAACACGTACCAATTTATCAAATTGTCGTTTAATCATAGAAAAGAAATTCAGCAATGTTGAAGCAACCTCCGTCTTATCATTCAATAAATAAACCCATGTCCCACGAAAACAATCATCCACAATAGTCAAAAAATATCGTGCACCACAGAATGACGGAATACGATACGGACCCCACAAATCACAATGAATCAAATGAAAAATCTCATGGCTAACAGTCTGACTGAGAGGAAAACTACGACGATGTTGTTTAGCACGAAAACAAGCATCACAGGATTTATGCAAATTACGAGAACTGTAATCAATAACAGGAATCTGGGACAATACTTGAGTAGATGGATGACCCAAACGTTGATGCCACACATCGGCAGAAACTTTCCGAACAGAAGAAACTGCCGTCGAAACCGTCCCTCGAAAGAAGTAGAGACCCCCAAACTGCTCACCTGCGCCAATCACCTTCTGTGAAGTGCGGTCCTGAATAACACAATATTTGTTAGTAAACTGAGCAGTGCAGTCGGAACTATCCAGCAACCGATATAATGAAATCAAGCTGCACCGAAGGCTGGGCACGTATAAAACATCATAAAGAGTGATATGAGATCCCAAATAAACAGTCCCAGCCTTGCTAGCCATAGTCAAAGAACCATTAGGCAATTGAATAGGGCGGTCGGGAATATCCCGAACATCGGAAATAAACTCCAAGAACCCTGTCATATGATGAGTTGCCCCACTGTCGTACATCCAATCAAACAAGCTACACGTACCAGACAAGGGATTATTTTGTTTAGCAGAATTAACCAAAAACACAAAGTGAGCCCACTGTTCATTGGTTAAACCGCCGAGTGCATGACGATCAGATTCACTTAAAACTCCACTAACATTTGAAGAACCAACAGAACCGGCAACAAACGAATCACCGAATCCACTAGAAAACGCTGCATTCGCACAAGCATCACTGTTGCCGCGAGCACCACTCTTGCCGTGCACTCCACCACGGCGGCCACCACCAAAATTACAACCGTGACCGCCACTTATGCCGAAACCAAACGTTGAAGACGTAACCATGATGAAGCCACTCGAGAGGGGCCGCAACGACTGAATAAA